AGTTCTAAAAACATGTCCATAATTAGGGTTCCACAGGTACCAAAACCTTTCTTTAGGTGTAACTAAGGGATTCACAAATGCAAGATCATTACAGTTCTATATATGTCCATAATTAGGGTTCCACAAGTACCAAAACCTTTCTTTAGATGTAACTATCTATGTACTGACCATGATTCAAATGTATATAAGATAAGAAAACTCATGTTATAATTATAAATTGTATAAGCTGGAAGTACATAACCATGATTCAAATGTATATAAGATAAGAAAACTCATGTTATAATTATAAATTGTATAAGCTGGAAGTACATAATTAACAAAATATCTTATCTTGAGGATCTTCTGATAAATGTAAAGCATCTTGAAAATAATTCCATAACTTTGAATATTCTTCATAGGACTTCAATTAGTGTTTACATGGCATACCTGCCACCGATGTTATAGTTTGATCTAAAAAAATAAATATACATTATAATAATAACTTCTAATATAGTATTGAATCTTGTGCTAAAATCAAATTTGAAGTGGCAAAAATTGAATTGAGTAGCAGCCATTTTGTGTTTGGAGCTTATACGTAAGAAACATATGAGAATTTCATAAATTTCAGGTTTATTTTTATTATATATTATATTTATAATCTTATTTTTTTATACTAGATGAATAAAAAACATTTTTAGAGCATTTATGGTTATACTGTTTTGATTATTGCCTAATATAATCAAAAATTAAAATTAGATTTTAGGTAAAAATTTAACAGAACTGTACTTTTTCAAGGGCATAAATCAAGTATTATAAAAATATTTTATTTAACTTAAATATTTATAAGTCAAGGAAAAATTATGGTGATTATTTGTAAGAAAAAACTACACTTTATACCATATACTTTTATTTATAATAATACATTTATTTTATTAGAAATAAATATAACATATATATATTATTTGTATTTATTATTGTAAAAATTTATAAGATTATTTTATTTTTCACAATATACATATTCATTATTGATTTTTGTACTTTAGTGAATTAAATTTAAATAAATATATTTAGAAATGGATAGTTATAATTATTAAGGAATAACATAATTCAAAGCAAAAATAAAATATAAAAAGACTTATAAATTATAAAATATAACCTCTTTTTATTTACTAAAAAAATAAGTACAAAAGTAATTATATCAAAAATTTTTTTTATATAATTCAAAATATTTATCAATAAAATCATATATATTCAATTTTGTTTTTGGAGTAATTTCTAAAATTCCAAATCACATGTTAAATATTTTCATAGCAAATCTGATATAATAATTTTTACAAGAAAAAAATAGGTTAATATAAGCTGCATCTTTAGATTTAATTCTGAATATTTAATTTGAGATATCATACTTATGAAAGGAAATTTTGCTTCCTGAACAATATTTTTGGTTACAGCCATATGCACTACAATATATTATCATTTTCTTAAAATATAAAAAATATATTAAATTTTTTAATAAATTTCAAATCATAATATATCTTTCCTCACTTTGATTTATGTTATTGAATATCTAAATATTAAATTAATTCTTATAAAAAATATTCATTCTAACTTGATAAGATATATATTTGAAAAATCTTAAAGATATTCATAAGGTATTAAAGAAAACAATAAATCCTTACTTCTCTAGAAATGACAAAATTTTAAACTGTATTCTTATTACTATACATACAGATTTCATTTTATATTGATTAGTCTATATAAAATATTAAAGATATTCATTAAGTAATAAACTGCAAATGTTTATAAAATGTTTTTTATTCATATAGTAAAAAATAAGATTTTAAATATAATATATAATCTCTTATCTTATCTAGCACGTTGGTCATAGACCTGCCCAAAATGAGCGAACGTGAATTTTAAAAAGGCCCACCCTTCATAAAATTATGCCGATTTTTTTTCTCAGGGATACCAACAAATATTGTAACCAGTTGTAGTTTAACTAAATGAGTGAAGCTTACCCTTTCCGATATTGTAATAGTGAGATTTAGTAATTATTAATATAAAGAAATATAAATCTTATCTATTTTTGAGTCTTGAATAACCATATTCATGATAAAGAGTGAGTTAAGAATATTTGAATCCATAGACATCAAAATTCCATTTGTTAGAAGTTATATTCTTCCAAAAACTGAAAACCTGAAATTTATGAAATTATCATGTTTCTTACATAAAAATGGCCGCTACTCAATTCAATTTTTGCCACTTCAAATACATCATTGATTGACATCGAATATTGAAGGATATCGCACTTAAAATCTGGAAGGTTTCGCACCCCATCACGGTATTCCTCGCAAAGTTTCTTTAACCGACTCTGGATATTATAACTGCGATTTTTTTTCGGTGTCCAACTATTTACCACGCCATCATTCAAGTTTAGTTTCATCGATAGCCACCTCGCATTCCATTTTTTTAAAATAAATTCCCAGATTGATGGGTGTTTATTTCCAACCAGATTAGAAAAACGATGATTCCAACCTTCGCATTGATTATTTGTGCGTTATTCATCGGATAGTGTTCTGATTCATGTTCCAAGTTTCTGGAGGACATCGAGGCTCAATTCGACGTGTTTGGAACTGAGGTGACAAATTCTATAAATATGAAAAAAAAATCCGGTGTATTTTTTTCCTGGGGTTTTTTTTCCTATTACCATAGATTATATACTTTTTTTTCATATAATATAATATCTTTTGATTTCACACCATATTGTTTTACTTAAGGCAAAAGGAAGAAAATTATAATAATAAAATGATTATGACACATGGAAAATAATATTTATTTTTAAAATACGCTGATAGCCATTTAATGGATGATAATTACTTATAAATTAGGTGTTATTTTTTAAAAAGTGTATTAATACATATTTTTAAATAGGTGCTAATTTAAAAAAGGAAAGTTTTTTAGAATCCAAAGCACCTAGCAAGCGACGCCTCTGTTTCTAAGTATTTTCTCAAACAATGCCTGGCAGTGTTTAGACACTTCATTTGTTATTTTTCTTGCGTATCACATTATTACGAATAGTGATCTGCATCGGGCCTAATTTTTCAAGCCCGGCCCGGCCCGAAATTTTTTTAAAAAGTTTTGCCAAATTTTTTTTAAGTTATATGTCGTTTAGTTTCAATAAATAAAATTAAATATTTTTATTTTACTTAGATATATTTAAAAAAATTTCCAAGGTCCGACCCGACCCGGCCCGAATTTTTTTTTAAATATTAGGCCCGGCCCAAACTAGATTATTATAAATAGAATTAGGCCCGAGCCCGGCCCGAAGCCCGTTTGGGCCGGGCCGGACTAACTTTGCAGATCTCTAATTACGAATACTCTCCAATTCCAATGCAAACTTTGACCCATAGCCAAAAACCTTTTAACCCTTCGGTAAAGGCTAATCTTTATATTTCTTTGCGAAATAGTATCATTTCTTCTTTTTAGCTAACTGCTAATTTTTTTCTTCTAAAAAGTAGTTATGGTTTAAAGTTAAAATCACTTTGTAAAATTTATAGCCCAAAGAATTAATCATTCAGTAGATAGATCTTTGTTGTCTTATTTTTTTATTTTTAAATCAATTTAACAATATTTAATCCGAGATTTTCCTTGATAATTTGTTGCAAACTATGTTTCCCTGGATGTTGAACATTTTGACGCCTTTTGAGGCTAATGCGACTAAGTATTACTGGATCAACTAATTTATTAATATTATTTGATCGTTTCTCTACTTAATAAGGAGTTTATTAGCTATGACTGAATTTATCATGGTCTGATTCTTTCAACGATTTGGATATCCATTTGAGATGACATTTTAAATAATATACAAGTTATTTAGGTTTATAATAAAAATATATTTCAAAATTAAATAATAAATCATAAAAATTTTTATGATATATTATATTTAAATTTTCATGTTGATAGTTATATTCATATTCATTATATTTTTCAAAAAAAGGAGCGCGCTAAAAAAATAAATGATATTTTTAAAAGTAACGCGTTATTAGCTATAGTTACCAAAAAAGATAGCTCGCTACTTTAACAATTCTGTATATAAGACAAGTTCGACTATATAAAATACAATTTTTTAAATATATTTTTATTTATATTCAAATACTTTTTTTTGTATTCGTAATCAAACATTTGAAAATTTGCCCAACCCCGTTAATGCATTATTGTTGCTAGGTATTGTTTTAAACCTTTACATAATGTGATATTTCTATTTTTTAAAATTCTTAAGTAAGGAACAACTTTCCATTATTTCAAAAAGTAATACTTTACTAAAAAATAAATTGGTTTTAGCTAAGTGTAATTAATATCATCTACATTTTCATTCAACTTAATATAATTGATTGATATCATCTATAATCTCAGCTTAATTTTAGTATTAGAGATGAAACTTATAAGCTTAACACAATAAAATTGATTTAACAGCAAAAACAAAGTAAATCCATTGGTGAATAGCGTTTACTGCATCTAATACTAATATATCAATTTAAAAGTATTTGTATTTTTATTTAATCCTGATAAATGCATAGTTTTTTAGTTTTCTATTCCTAATATTCTTCATAGTAATCAGATGAACCTTAACGATAGTCCTCAATTGGTTTCATCATAATTGAGCCTTGTGATGTAAAATTCACGGGAATTTAAGTCTTGGGGAAATTCCCGAGAAAAATAAAAATTAAACATTCAAAATATTTTATTTATATATAATACAATTAATATAAACTAGAGACCTGCAGACCCGGCTCTGGTACCTGGGCAACTAATATAGAATGAAGCACCCCTTTAAAAGTAATATTATACCGAGGTTAAGATATTAATGATTTCCTTTCTGCCTAACTGATATCGACTGAACCCTTTATTTATGGGGTAATATTACACTGAGTTTAAAAAAAAATTATGGTTTTTTTCAATCTAAATCAGTACTTCTCTATTTAAAAAATTAATATTTTATTAAAACAGCGATTTAAACCAAAAAAATCGACTTTTTTTAAAAAAAAATCAGAATTTTTCCAACTTTAATATTGATGGATTTTATCTTTGCTATTTTTCAATAAATATACTATATTATTATTTTTGGGTATCAGTGGTATTTGTAATTGATGGTATCGGCTAAAAAAATGGTGTCAGTGCACCTCTGGGTTTGCATATTTCTCTGCGTATAATTAAATTTTAATATTTTTATATTCAATTTAACATTTTAAAAAAGTTGTATGTACAAAAATAAATAATTCTAATCATACATTATTTTTATAATTTATTGAATTTCTATGACTAAGAGCGTATTTATGAGTTTTTTGAATTCATTTCAATTTTTAATATGAAAAAGCATTTTTTATATTTAAAAAAATGACAAAAATATTAGTCAATTTTACGAATATAAATATATCCTGGTATACATTATAATTCTATCGAAAATTGGATATTTTGACATACCATCGCTAGTATCATTCATTACAATGTATATCGATATTCGTATCAATACCAATCTTCGTTTAATCTATTATCGTAATGTGATGGCTGGCATGGAAAAGAAAACCCTCTATTTTTTAGTGCTAATTTTTTGGCGTTCTCTTCGTCTAATTTTTGCTGTTGATATTTTGACTGAGCACTTAAAATTTGTTCGAACGACACTTTTTCTAGCTCCGATTCGGCTTTAGAAGGCGTTTCATGCTGACAATTAAAAAAACAATAAATATAAACTATAGTTGTTAAATGAAGGTGAATGTTAAAAGTTCTCAAATAGTGTTTATAACATATAATTTATTGATTTTAAAAAATACTAGCTTATTTCATATGGCAAGTCAAGTTCTGAGATTAGGAAAAACTTTTTGTATATTTTTAATAAATTTGATAAATGCTAAGCTATTTAAAATCAAATTGATGACTTGGGCTGCTGGAGTAGTCATAAGTATCTCTTTGATTTCAAAGGGGGAGACTAGGCGTCTAATATCAAACAAGTTTAGCAAAAAAATTAACGTAATTTTTTCGCCAAAGTTTAGGCTCCAACCTGATACTAACGCCTCATTCAAGTATTTTACGATTTTTAAAAATATCCATTTTTATAAATATGTCGTATCTTTTAAAGGAGCCAGAATTATGTGGGGTTATCCCGGGATTTAAATGAATCCCTTTGAAAATTCAATTTTTTAAAAGGATTAATCGTGATAATAGGTATCTTATTTTAAAACACGTTTTGCTTTATTTATTTATTACTTATTTATTTTCAAAGTTGTTATTAATTTGCTTTATGAAAGTAGATATGTCCAATATAGGTATCAATCGAGAACAAATCAAAAAGGTCTAATAGACAAGTTTAATTTTTTCGCGCTCGGCATATTTCCCGTGAACAAAAAATATTTTTTTTCTAAAACTGAGTTAAACAAGAGGCAAATAACACATTTTCAACGTTTTTACTTAAAAAAAGTGTATAAATATATAGAATTATGAAATGCCATTTGTCATCATTTGGATTATGTAAAAAAAAATATTCAATTTATTTTGAATAAGAAATAAAACAATTCAGATTTTTATTTAAACATATAGATATTTTACATTTTATACATTCTAATCTGAATAAACCATTTGTGCAGTTCTTGCATCTTTGCCTGATAGTCGCCGATGGCCAATACCCTCTGTGATTGGGTGAAAACTATTCAATTTCCTTTTTTTTTCAATCTTCAAAGTAGATCTATCTTATTTTCTATCATTTTCCTTTCCAACTATCGCCAATCCTTTAGCTATTCGAACTAAATACTAAAAGAGACAATGTTTAATATTTTTCTGTTTTATGTAGCGTCTATAGAGCAACCATGAGTTCACTACACCGGAATCTAATAAATGAAAGAAAACTCATATAAAAACGATTTTATGTCAGTTTTGTAGAGTTTAATCAACATATTATGGAGATCCACCCCGCCCATCACACCATTATAGTTTTGAATTATGGGGGAATTTCGACATTGAGAAAAGATTTATCAGATAACGACCATCTTCTCGTTCGTTATATGGGATTTATACCCATGATGATATGATGATAAACCGATTTTTTATCAAACCATTTGCAAATTATAATATTATTATTAGAATCCCCTTTTTAATAAAGGGACCCTCTTCTTTTTTTCTTTAGGATTTTGTCATCAACCTAATGACATCCCGATAATCAATTAGATATAAGGGTCCCCGACATGGTAAAGCCATTATCTTTGAGCGCAACTGCTAAATTATACAAAGAAAAAAAGTTATTTATGTAAATTTTATGATTTTTATGTGGGAGAATAGTTTCTAATAGTTGAATAACGATATCTCCGCTAATTCCCATCAAAGTTTTTTTTTATATTTGTGGATTTTCCTAAATATATCTCGAAATCATATAGCATTCCAGATGAACCACATAAAGCGAAAATTTTAATTCCCCATTTATGCGGTTTAGAGCTAATATATTGTTTATATTCACATCGCCCTTTGAAGGGGGCTATTATTTCATCAATGGATAATTTTTCCTCCAATTGAATCTTTCTCAAGTTCACTTTCATTGCACTAATAAATAGTCTTAGTTTTAAAAGTTTATCGTTAGGATGACCCCTAAGGATTATATTATTATTATCATTAATATGAAAATATTTTTTCAATTCCAATAATTTATTTCTTGTCATGAATTGAGAAATCACTGTCTCTAGAGCCCAATATTGCTTTATTGATGAAAAATTTAACATGCCACATGCAAAGGTGAATTCAAATAAATTTTTCAATTTCATTAGTATTTGTATTTGTTGATTTACCAGATAATTGAAAAGAATAAATCTTCGTTTGTTCTACTAAATTGTTAATAATATGATCGTCTATAGATTTTTTAAAATATTTGAAAGGCGAAATTCCTTTATCGGGTGGAGGGAAAAATTAAAATTCTTGTTTAAATTCTGTATCATATTTATATATATCCTTATTTCGCCAAAGTGTTTTCCTATTATTTGATATACTATCATTTTTATCATAATTCTGTGGCATTTTCAAAGTCCTCATCATTCTCAATATCTGCATCATATATATATATCTGAGTTCATCTAAAAAATTATTTATAAAAATTTGCATAAAAATTTTTAAAAATAAATTTACTATATCATATTTTCAAAATTTAATTTTAAAAAATCTATGGAAAACATTCAATTAGAAAATCCCAATGTTACCAATTTGGATTTCCTTTAAAAAATCCCAATGTTACCAAATTGATTTCCTTCAAAAACATATAAATAATAGTTATTGTTATTATTTTATACTAAACGTGAAATACTAGTAATAATCTATTATAAAAACATTATATACCTTTGACTTATATATTTATAGAATGGTTATAGATGTAAAAGTATAAAAATTTGGTTCCATGTCAATTCAGCGAAACTTTTATCAAGAAACCCTTTTTCGCGAAACATTTATCGCGAATGTCGTTTATCGCGAATGGATTTTATAGCAAAACTTTTATCGCAAATCCATAATAGCGAATACTATTCCGCGAATCGCGAAATGAATATTGCGAATTTTTTATAGCGAAACCTTTATAGCGAATACATTACCACGAATACAATATCGCGAAACAAATATCGCAAATTTTTTATAGCGAAACCTTTAATGCGAATACATTACCGCGAATCAATAATCGCGAAAATTTTATAGCGAAACCTTTATCGCGAAACATTTGAAGCGAATACATTACAGCGAAACTTTTATCGCGAATCAATAATCACGAAAATTTTATAGCGAAACCTTTATCGCGAAACCTTTAAAGCGAATACATTACCGCGAAACTTTCGTCGCGAAAATTTTATAGCGAAGTTATTATCGTGAAGATATTATAGAGAATTTAATATCGCGATAATTGCTAATAATGACTAATTTATTTTGAATTATTTTTTTATAATTATATTATTTGAATAATATTTTTTTAATTCAATAGTAATTTATATATTAATAATGGCCACTGATAACTTTTGGAATCATATTTTTAATTTTTGCTCTTTCGTATTTTATCACTAACTATTATAGTTTTAAAAAATCAATTTTTTCTTACCATTTTCGCGCCAAAATTTTAATTCATATTTTCGGTTATCAAAACTTGCTAAAAATATAAGTAATAATTTTATAATTTTTATATAAAAATTATCATCTTTTTAAACATTTTAGGTGCTGTAATTTGAGCATAATGCCATTTGGCATCAATGGTCATTTCTTATGCACTAAAATATTTTTTTATCAATAAATGGGAATTTTAGTCAAATTATTTAGGATATTTAGATTTAGGGCTAAAACGGAAGTGGGGAAGGGGGGGGGGTAATCAGATTATATTTTGATAATAGTTAACTGTATTGATTATTTAATGTCTAATAGTTTTCTTGGATATAGGGAGAGGTCCTAATAAATATTTTATATATATAACATGTAATAATATGAGATACATTTTAATCACTATGCATTTAGATATGACTACTCCCCGAGGGTGATATTTCTGAAGCTGATATAGAGAGCTCAGATGAAGAAGACAATTATTATCCTTTGCTAGATGATTTGCCAACCTCATCTTATATTACAAATGAACTAGGTCTTGAATTGGAGGATATAATCGAAGATACTACTATAACTAAAATAAAAGATAACCCTCTTTGGTCTAAGAAAGACATTGGAAACATGAATACAGAATTTACTCATATGGTGGAAATTCCTGAACCAGATTCAACTCCTCTAACCTATTTTCGTAAATTTTTGGACAACCAAATGATCAGCAATTTTATATCAGAAACAAATATTTATTCCTTCCAATGTTGTGGAAAATCTATAAATACTGATAGCAATGAAATTGAAAAATTTATTGAAATACATTTGTACTAGCTTAGTTAAGATGCCTTCTATACGGCAGTATTTGAGACATCTATTCCACAAGTATCAGAAACTATGTCCCGCAATCGTTTTCTTTTGATCCGAAATTTTTCCATATTAATAATAACAAAAATATGGTAAATAGAGAAGATAAAGATTACGACAAATTATTCAAAATTCAACCTTTCATATGCCAGCTAAAAAAAAATTCAACTCGAAGAGAAGTTAGCTGTAGACGAATTCATAATTCCTTTCAAGGGGCGCTCTAAATTAAGGCAATACATTAAATCGAAGCCCCATAAATGGGGGATAAAAGTGTTTGCCCTATGTGGCTCTTCTGGATTTATGTATGATTTTGAAATATACCAAGGAAAGTCTACTAATACTATAAAATCATATTTAGGTATCAGTGGAGATATCGTACTTCGCCTGTCTGAAATAATACCATCAAATAAAAACCATAAATTATATATGGATAATTTTTTCTCCTCATACCAATTATTTATGATTCTTAAAAAAAGGGATATTTGGTGTCCGGAACGGTAAGGTCTAATCGAGTATCAGAATGCGCACTTAAAAACGATAAGGCTTTAAAAAAGGAAGGAAGATACGCTGTAGATTATAAAAGTGAAAAAAACGGTATTATTATCTGCAAATGGCAGGACAACAAAGCTGTTATTACAATATCTAATTTTATAGGTGTTTTACCTACGACCAAAATTAAACGATGGTCTGTATCGGACAAAACCTTTATAAATGTAGAAATGCCCGCTATAATTAAAAACTATAATGAGGGAATGGGTGGA